CTCTTACTGGAGGCAAGGCTCACTGGCTCAGGGCTATTCACTGGGCTACAGAGCTAGGCCAGGGGCTAATGGCTTACTGCCCTGCCTGGCTGCTAACTACCGCTCGGTCAACTCTCAACCACTGACAACGTTTGTTCCCACTGTAGATTGACTTTCAAAAGTAGATTCCTTTTCAAATGTACTGTAGATTAACTTTCAATGTAGATGGCATTTTAAGCATTATGGTTACATGTAGTTTCTACGGCCATCCAGTGGTGCTATTCAACTATTCATAATCATTGTGAAATATCTCACGTTGACATTCATGTTAAATGAGTTTCAATGTATTAAATGGGGGACCAACTTCCTGATTTGGCCTAGTTTTCTCGCCTTGGTCATTTAGAAATGTAGCGGCCATGACTGAAGCCAAACAAGAGTTGTCTTGGGGGGAGGGGTTAATGTGGGTGTCTTGTGTGTGTGCACGTGGCAAGCATTTCTACATTCACTCTACCAAAACAGTACAGTTAGTCACTCACCCTTCAAGATAACTTCAAAGTCTAACCAGGTCTTGTGTCTTGAAGTCGCATAGGCTAGCGCTAGAGAAACTTGCCAATTAGCTTCAGCCGGCTGGTGTGCGACCATGGCAAAGTTGGTTTGCTATTGGATAGCCCGTGTACATTGTGTAATTTACTGATTGTCCCTAACTAGCCCCATAGGGATATTGAATGTCAAATCAAATTGACCATGGGCATTATGATCGGGTTGCGTGCAGCTGCGCTCCGAATTGATGATTAATCAAATCAAATCTTATTTGTCACATGCGCCGAATACAACAGGCCTTACCGTCAATTTACTTGGGTGCTGCCAGCTGTGGGCAGGATTGAAATAAACCAAACCCAAGGAAAACTGTTACAGTACCCATCATTCCATAACATACCATTTTCTCTTATCATCTCGCAAATCTCTTTTGGACAATACTGACTTTATGACCAAATGTATCCTATTAACACTTTTGTAAGTCAATTTTGACACTACAATAAATGTTTCTGACTCATACAGTGGGGGAAAAAAGTATTTAGTCAGCCACCAATTGTGCAAGTTCTCCCACTTAAAAAGATGAGAGCGGCCTGTAATTTTCATCATAGGTACACGTCAACTATGACAGACAAAATGAGGAAAAAAAATCCAGAAAATCACATTGTAGGATTTTTCATGAATTTATTTGCAAATTATGGTGGAAAATAAGTATTTGGTCAATAACAAAAGTTTCTCAATACTTTGTTATATACCCTTTGTTGGCAATGACACAGGTCAAACGTTTTCTGTAAGTCTTCACACGGTTTTCACACACTGTTGCTGGTATTTTGGCCCATTCCTCCATGCAGATCTCCTCTAGAACAGATGTTTTGGGGCTGTCGCTGGGCAACACGGACTTTCAACTCCCTCCAAAGATTTTCTATGGGGTTGAGATCTGGAGACTGGCTAGGCCACTCCAGGACCTTGAAATGCTTCTTACGAAGCCACTCCTTCGTTGCCCGGGCGGTGTGTTTGGGATCATTGTCATGCTGAAAGACCCAGCCACGTTTCATCTTCAATGCCCTTGCTGATGGAAGGAGGTTTTCACTCAAAATCTCACGATACATGGCCCCATTCATTCTTTCCTTTACACGGATCAGTCGTCCTGGTCCCTTTGCAGAAAAACAGCCCCAAAGCATGATGTTTCCACCCCCATGCTTCACAGTAGGTATGGTGTTCTTTGGATGCAACTCAGCATTCTTTGTCCTCCAAACACGACGAGTTTAGTTTTTATCAAAAAGTTATATTTTGGTTTCATCTGACCATATGACATTCTCCCAAACCTCTTCTGGATCATCCAAATGCACTCTAGCAAACTTCAGACGGGCCTGGACATGTACTGGCTTAAGCAGGGGGACACGTCTGGCACTGCAGGATTTGAGTCCCTGGCGGCGTAGTGTGTTACTGATGGTAGGCTTTGTTACTTTGGTCCCAGCTCTCTGCAGGTCATTCACTAGGTCCCCCCGTGTGGTTCTGGGATTTTTGCTCACCGTTCTTGTAATCATTTTGACCCCACGGGGTGAGATCTTGAGTGGAGCCCCAGATCGAGGGAGATTATCAGTGGTCTTGTATGTCTTCCATTTCCTAATAATTGCTCCCACAGTTGATTTCTTCAAACCAAGCTGCTTACCTATTGCAGATTCAGTCTTCCCAGCCTGGTGCAGGTCTACAATTTTGTTTCTGGTGTCCTTTGACAGCTCTTTGGTCTTGGCCTTAGTGGAGTTTGGAGTGTGACTGTTTGAGGTTGTGGACAGGTGTCTTTTATACTGATAACAAGTTCAAACAGGTGCCATTAATACAGGTAACGAGTGGAGGACAGAGGAGCCTCTTAAAGAAGAAGTTACAGGTCTGTGAGAGCCAGAAATCTTGCTTGTTTGTAGGTGACCAAATACTTATTTTCCACCATAATTTGCAAATAAATTCATTAAAAATCCTACAATGTGATTTTCTGGATTTTCTTTTCTCAATTTGTCTGTCATAGTTGACGTGTACCTATGCTGAAAAGTACAGGCCTCTCTCATCTTTTTAAGTGGGAGAACTTGCACAATTGGTGGCTGACTAAATACCTTTTCCCCCCACTGTATCGATGCCACATATGCCGTTTTCAAAAGAAGAAATTGCTTTTTAGGGGCAGTCGCTCTAAGGGTAGAACTAACCTCGTCCCCAGGCTATTGTGCACGTCTGATACATAAACAATAAGTGCGGAAGACATTTCAGTTGAATGCATTCCCTTCCATAAACAATTCAAAGCTGGCCTTAGTGGGAGTGACCATAGAATTCTATGGGAGTGACCTTACTTGTCATCATTTAATTTTAGCGACTCACACGACTGTGGCGTGCTAGCATACGGGGGAAGGTGTTGTGGGAGATGATTGGTTGGTGGATTAAGCGATGCCTATGCGCCGGGAGTTTCTCCCAGTCTTGGCTAACCAAGGCCAAGTTTGACGCGCATTTGGGCAGAAGTTTCTAGGAATGAGATTAAGGGTAGACCTAATGTCCAAAGAAACCGCATCCCAAAAAATTAAAAATCACACAAAACAACAGTTTAACAACTGTACCAAACAGCCATTTTAAAATGTTCACAATGACACATTTCGACAGGTACTGTAATATATCAAAAACACATCGGCAGACATGTCATATCTAAAATCTGAAGAACAAATGACACATACCTCAATTTGCACAAAGAGCTAGAGTCTCAAAAGACACAGAAGTAACCAGACATTTTCAAAACAAAGGAACGTGTCAAAATACATTTCCCAATACAATTATTCTATATTGCATACACATTTACTTTGAGTGGAAATCTGAAATGCATCCTTGAATCAACATATAAATAATATCTTTGTGTTGTTGATAATAATATTAATAATGAATGAGGGAATTATCAGATTTCCTTCCATTTAAAAGGCCACTAAGATTACTGTAAATCGGCACATAAACCCTAACAAATCCATTCACGAGAAAGAATGGAAAAGATTAAGTGACATTTCCTTTAATCTATAAAAATTATTCTCGCTATCTGAGAAAACAAGGAAGTAGGCTACTGTTTTGCAGCAGTGTTAGCTCGTTTTGAAGCTCTGTGATTGAAATAACACACTTCCGTTTGGTCATGCAAAGTTGTGGCAGAAGGACTCTGGAAAATGTTAAAACATTCAGCATGGATTTTGACTAGGTCCCTTCCCCAACACATTCATGAGGAATATTAGTATGAATTTCAACAACCCATCCGATGGCCCTCCAGCAGAGATTTAAAACAGAATATTGGGTCCCCTGTAGCTCAGTTGGTAGAGCATGGCGCTTGCAACGCCAGGGTTGTGGGTTCATTTCCCACGGGGGGCCAGTATGAAATTCTATGCACTCACTAACTGTAAGTCGCTCTGGATAAGAGCGTCTGCTAAATGACAAAAAAAAATATATATATATTGTTTTCGACATTTTGTAGTGCTCATTTTCTTCAGTGATAGACCCCCAGGCTTGCAAGGCATCCGATTTTTGTTGTTGTTGAATAAAAATGTTGTTGAAGTTTGCTGATAAAAGATAACCTACAGTACTTAACTTGAACAGTACTCAGTGCTATTTCAAAGCAGTTTGAAGTATAGGCGAGGTGAGAGGTGTTTTCACTATGCATTCAACTAACTACTGCCATTAAAACAGAGTCAAGGCCAGAAAAAGTCTGAGAAAAATTCATTTTAAAAAACATCACATTTTAAAAAACAAGTCTACAGCATAGATGGTTTGTCAAATATTCAGAAAATTTTCACAAATTAAATCTATCATCCAAACTAAATATTATAAAAGCATCTACAGAGAAAATTATGGATCATTACTAATAACTTAAATACATTAAAAAAAGTTTGTAATATAACAATTTTCCATTGTGGGGCCGAGGCTAAGAAAATAGTTGTTCAAAGCCTATCCCAAAAAAATTAAAAATAAAAGCATAAATGAAAAGGTCCATAGATCAACAAAAAGACCTGCGGAGTAGACAGGTGCGCTTGGCCTTGAATGTGTCCTGTTTGCTCTTGGTCCTTGTTGGAGGGGAGTCTCCCTTCTGTCCTACATTGAGAAGCTTTGGCACAGAGACACCATGGTGGGACGGGACGACAGTGACGCATCACAACACGGTGCTAACGAGGGGAAGGACACACATGCAGCAGGCCAGACCAGGCCGCGCCCCCGGTGGGTGAGGGGGTCAGAGGTGAGGAGGTGGCGAGGGGTTGGCCATGGAGGGGGGTAGGCAGTGGGAGGGTTAAGGGCTGGGAACAAAGGGCATCTTCAAACAAGAGCGCGGTAGTGGAGCCATTTTCCTACCAGTGTCTCCAGAATCAGATAGCGCTGTACACACGACAACCCACTGTTGACTTTGGCCTGCACTTTAAAAACTTCCGTCCACTTCAGTAGTGATTCTATCCCTCCTCCGACTGTCTCTGGTCTGGTCTGTCTCACAGAGAAGACTCCACCTCTCGAGTGATAATGACCTCGGGCTCTGGGATCCGGGGGACCACCTGGATGACTGCAGCGGCCGCCTGCTCCAGAACTGAAGCTCCGGCTCCAGCTGCTCCCTCTGGGATCTCGCTGATCACCTCCATTGCTGAGGCCGCCAGCGCCTTCCCCTCGCCGCTCGGCCCCTTCTCCGTGCCTGCCGGACCAGTGCCGGCAACACCCGGCTTGTCTGTGGCGCCACAGCACAACTTGGGCGCGCACTGCGTCCGGCAGGAGAGCTCGCATAGGGAGGCACTTGATTCGGAGTTGACCGTGACAAACTCGGGCTGGATGGTGGTGGCGTGGATGCCCTCGTTGTGGAAGAAGTCCTTGATGCGCTTGGCCACGTCCATGTAGGATGTGGGGTCATGGCACTTGATGTGCGCTGTGGCGATGATGCGCGAGCCCGCCAGCTGCCAGATGTGCAGCTCATGAATGGCCAGCACACCGTCCAGCAAGAGCAGCCGCTCGTTAAGGCGGTGCATGTCGATCTGCTTGGGCACCGTCTGCAGGAGGATCAGCGCAGACTCCTTGAGCAGCGGGTAGGTGGTGTAGAGCAGGATGCCCACCATGATGATGCACAGCGTGGGGTCCAGGTAGAGCACCCAGCAGGGCCCCACCATGGTCCGCTGAAAGCTAGAACCGTTGCTGTCCACAAACAGGTCCACCAGGGTGTGGTTGACATGCTGGTGGTCGGTCGAGTGGCAGGGATTGAAGCAGGTCTCGCCAGGCGGGCACGGCCGCCACACAAAGGTGAAGATGAGGGCGTTGACCACCACAATGACCGAGCCCAGGGCGTCACCCAGCACGTGCAGGAAGACTCCACGCATGTTGAGCGAGGCCTCGTCGTGGCTGTGGTCCATGTCCTCGTAGACGACGCTGCCGTTCATATGCACCTCGCTGTCGTTGCGAACGATCTCTGAAGGAAGAAGACAGGGGGACAAGGGGTTAAAGAGGTCCAGGGGGGGGCGGTTGTGCAAAAGCACAGCCCTGTTAGAAATGCATCCTTCCTAGTTTTCTTGAGATAACCATTGATCTATAAATGATTGGATAAGTGAAAGCAAGTGACCACCATCCCCAATGAGAACCAATTCAGATCCAAGATTACTTCAAGGAAGGTACGAAGGATGCATTTCTAGTATTTGAACAGAGACAACATATTTGAGAGGATGATAGGAAGAATGGCAGAGACTCTTGCATCAAAGGGATGGAGAAAAGGAAATGCTGATGTTTACAAAGATGAGGAATGACTGGAAATCTTAATCATGAATGACTTACATCCAGCTGCGATTTATTAGCTACCTCGTCCAACTACTGACCCAAACAAACCATAATGATTTATGAATGCATCAGAGTTTTTGGAGGACATGGTTGATGTGCCGTAAGTTACGGCTGCCCGAGGTGATAAACACCTTGATAAGAAGCTAAGACATGTTCGACATTAAATAAAACAATTTACTTCCACGTAGGGAAGAATGTAGGCCGTAGTACATCACCTGAGGCAGGCCTTCCCAGTTCCCGTTCTGGACGTGCACTACAACCGGCATGGTGGTAGAAGCCAGTAAATTAACCAACCACAACAGACTGCCCCTGCTTAACACCTTGAGGAAATTCCATTCATGTCAGCAGACAGTGTGATGGCCTAGCACTACGCTACGACTCATACGGCTACATAATGGCCAATGGCACCAGAACTAGCGCTAGGTTAATAGCCTCTGTCCCGGCACTCAGTGACGTAGGGGTAATTCCTCAGGGCCTAATGGTGTGGCTGAGTAAGGGGCTTTCGGTCGTGTCACTGCTTGGGATGATGTATGGCCGGGTTGCTGCGATCAGTGCATGGAGGAGGGAGAAATGGGCTCCATTTACTGAAACTGGCAGAGCCGGACAGGCCCAGTGTAGAGGGGAAACTTACGGTCTCCTGGTTTAACCATTTTCTGTCCAAACAGGAGGCAGAGGGCAGCTCTCAGCTCCCTGACCCTAGTATCAGTAAGGAGATCATGGTCATGTTCTGAATCTGGTGGATTGCCATGTTTACACCATGATATCCTGTTAATATGATAAAACAACTGCTTATAACACGTGGGTTTTGTGAAGGAAGACAATTTACGGATAATACGGATGAAATGTCTTCTGATAAGGTCACGATTTGAAAGCCTGGACTGTTCTCTTCAAATACTCAATGTAACTTGAGGGACAAAATCTGGATGGCTGGGACTTTCACCATTTTGGTTTTGAAACAAGTCATGACACGTCCGCCACCATGTAAAACATCTGCAGGCTGACCCTAGGTCAGATTCTCCAGATAAGTTTGATTAAAGTTATTTGTAATGTTACAGTGAGCATGCAAAGGGGGCACAGGTTTATGAAGCAGTGTATTTTACAGACAAGCTTAGAGGCAGAACCTGGTCATATTTCTCCAGAAATGGGAATAATTGTGTTTCCTGAAGTGGCAAAAATAATGATGGCAGTCCCTTGAGATAATAGATTCAATTACAAGGGTCTGTCGTGCACTCTCATGGCCTCCGCAAAAGGCATTATTTCAAAATGGTGTGCGCAGAATAGGCAGTCATGGGCCACATTGTTCTGTATCAAGTCACTGCTGATACCAGTCGCTGACATCTACGAATATTACAAAGAATATAGCCCTATCACTGTTTCTGTTAAAAACTGAAAACTACAGATGTAATTGTGCCTCTGCCCAACCATTACTCTTTGTGAGCCACTGGTCTGTCTGGTAAATGGGCTCATATAGCTTAGGCCTTAACTACCAGTCAAAAGTTTGGACACACCTACTCATTCAAGGGTTTTTCTTTATTTTTTACATTGTAGAATAATAGTGAAGACATCAAAACTATGAAATAACACATATGGAATCATGTAGTAACCAAAAAAGTGTTAAACAAATCAATATATATTTTATATTTGAGATTCTTCAAATAGCCACCCTTTGCCTTGATGACAGCTTTGCACACTCTTGGCATTCTCTCAACCAGCTTCATGAGGTAGTCACCTGGAATGCATTTAAATTAACTCTTAAAAGTTAAGAAGGAAAGAAATTCCACAAATTAATGCGTTTGAGCCAATCAGTTGTGTTGTGACAAGGTAGGTGGGGGTATACAGAAGATAGCCCTATTTGGTAAAAGACCAAGTCCATATTACGGCAAGAACAGCTCAAATAAGCAAAGAGAAACGACAGTCCATCATTACTTTAAGACATGAAGGTCAGTCAATACTGAACATTTCAAGAACTTTGAAAGTTTCTTCAAGTGCAGTCGCAAAAACCATCAAGCGCTATGATGAAACTGGCTCTCATGAGGACTGCCACACGAATGGAAGACCCAGAGTTACCTCTGCTGCAGAGGATAAATTAATTAGTTACCAGCCTCAGAAATTGCAGCCCAAATAAATGCTTCACAGAGTTCAAGTAACAGACACATCTCAACATCAACTGTTCAGAGGGGACTGTGTGAATCAGGCCTTCATGGTCGAATTGCTGCAAAGAAACCACTACTAAAGGACACCAATAAGAAGAGGAGACTTCCTTGGGCCAAGAAACACGAGCAATGGACATTAGACAGGTGGAAATGTGTCCTTTTGGTCTGGAGTCCAAATTTGAGATTTTTGGTAACAGCCGCCGTGTCTTTGTGAAATGCGGTGTGGGTGAACGGATTATCTCTGCATGTGTAGTTCCCACCATAAAGCATGGAGGAGGAGGTGTTATGGGGTGGGGGTGTTTTGCTGGTGACACTGTCCGTGATTTATTTATAATTCAAGGCACACTTTATTAGCATGGCTACCACAGCATTCTGCAACAATACGCCATCCCATCTGGTTTGGGCTTAGTGGGACTATCATTTGTTTTTCAACAGGACAATGACCCAACACAACTCCAGTCTCTGTAAGGGCTATTTTACCAAGAAGGAGAGTGATGGAGTGCTGCATCAGATGACCTGGCCTCCCAATTGAGATGGTTTTGGATGAGTCGGACGGCAGAGTGAAGGAAAAGCAGCCAACAAGTGCTCAGCATGTGGGAACTCCTTCAAGACTGTTGGAAAAGCATTCCAGGTGAAGCTGGTTGAGAGAATGCTAAGAGTGTGCAAAGATGTCATCAAGTCAAAGGGTGGCTATTTGAAGAATCTCAAATGTGAAATATATACAACTTTTTTGGTTACTACATGATTCCATAAGTGTTATTTCATAGTTTTGATGTCTTCACTATTATTCTACAATGTAGAAGAAAACCCCTTGAATGAGTACGTGTGTCCAAACTTTTGACTGGTACTGTATATGGCAACATTTGATAGATATACTGATGATGCCCAAGCCAAGAGACCCACATCAGCTCAGTTACACCTTTGAGATTGTAATGGATATTGATCCATCTACAATACAGAAGAAACCCAGCCAAGACCATGTGACACTGGCTGTGTTGATTGTCTAACCCTCAAAGGCAAACATATGAAAGGGTTAACGAAAACCACAGAGATGGCTTTGGACTAAAGACAGCTCCATATTGAGTAGGCCTTCCAATTTCAGTTCTTTGAATACAATTCCTGTCTGTGTGAGATTATGCGAGTGTGTGCTCTGTTTGCCCCCACTCCCCAATAATATATGATCTTATTTCCATCGATGAAACAGCATAAAACCTGAGACAGGCTAGTGTGGTTATGATATCATAATGAAGAGCTGTCTTGATATGATTCATAGTAGTACAATGAACCCGAGGTGAAAAACATAACAGTATCATTGGGGGCCAAATTGTCAAATTCTCAGTGAAAAGATTGTAGCTAGCCAAGTACAGTAGCTACATCTATACAGTGTGTTGACAGTATAGCTACTTAATGTAATAGACAAATGAATGACATAACTTACCATGTCTATGTCTCTCGGTGTTCACGCCATTAGGGGGGCTGTTGTGGCTTCCCACCAGGTTGTTGGACTCCTCTCCTGATGATCCATTCGGTCTTTCTGACTTGCATATTTTACCCCTCTTGTTTTTCTTATTTCCATGAGAATGGCCTCCTCCGTGAGAGTGCCCGTGTCCACCACCTGCGTGTCCGTGGAACAAGCACAGCCCGAGGAGGTTGACCAGGAGCCCGGCGGCCCCCACACCGATGACTACATGGGGTTTCTCGATTTCATGTGGGTTGGTGAATCGCTCGACGGCCTCCAAGATAATGGTGAAACAGAGAGCTGTGAGGAACACTGCGTTTACCAGAGCCCCCATCACCTCCGCCCGGATCCATCCGAAGGTGTTTTTATTAGTCGATTGCGTTTTCTCAGCGAAGCGCACCGCCACCAAAGCCACAACCAGCGCTATGACATCCGATAGCATATGAAAGGAGTCCGACAGCATTGCCAAAGATGCCGTGATCCGACTGACGACTACCTCCACGATAAAAAAGCCAAATGTCAATGAAAGCATGCATAGTAGCCGCACACGATTAGGCTCACAAGCCATTTTTATCCGCTGGTCACTTATTTAGATAACTGAGTTAGCTAGCTAGTTAGCTTACAATATGCTATCTGTAGCGAGCCAATCGAGACTGGAAGCATATGATGGGATTCCACCACGTATTGTAAATATGTATATGCTCGCTAAAAATTCGTCATTATCGTACGATTACAACCGACTCCAATTCCAGATGCAGCAAAGACAGATGTTGGTTTCTCAAAAGCGGTCAACTGGGCAAATTAGAAGACGAGGGTATATTTCAGAAACGTTAGCCGTAGACTTTGATTTGCAGACGGCTGAAACTTTGCACCCGAGCCGGTAAAGTTTCCACCCGGAATGAGGCACGCCCTGGTATCTTGCTATTGGTTGTTATGGATAAAGTAGAATTTGGTTGGTCAATTCTTCCAACAATTTCACATGGGCGGGGTCGAGCGTTGCCATGTAGGCACGTTGCGTAATGCAAACATTTCGACGTCGTCGTTTGGACTCATGGTATAACATTTTGTGACACCTTGTTTTTTAGAATAGTGTGTATCATTGGGTCTTTGCACATCACTTAATACTTTAACACGTTCATTAATATTTTACTTAGTTATTATACATTGATTACACCATCACTCGTATTTCATGTCACAGCGATTCACCGATACCTATGCTATGATGCTGGTAAAGGTTTGTCTCGCGCACTTGCGGCTGCTGCACTTGAACGCAGACACACTTCCCCAAGCTCTGGCAGTGCTGGTCATAAAAAAAGCTAGCTAACTGATGGATGCAAACAATGTTCTTTAGGGAACGCCGTTTGGGTCTTTGCGTCTCAAAAAAGATACACGTCAAAAAACACTATTTGACGCGTCAAATAAGCTTTTAATTTGACACGTCAAATAACAAAATTATATTATGGAATGTTGTGTGTGCTGAATTTGCACGTTGTGTTTACAATACCGCGTTGGTAATAAGGCATTATTTGTTCGACCGAATGGGGAAACGTCTGTGTGATCATTTGAAATAAGAGCAGGATCAAAAATGTTTGCAAATATCTTTGATACAGATGTTATTAGAAACTTTAGCTTGGTACCATCCTAACTAGCACTAATGCAACCAGCCTGAAAACAATGACTAGTAGAAACTGCAGTAATGTTCAATATTCTTAGGAATTATTTAGGAATCCACGTGAGTAAGTATTAGCTAGGTAGCCACTTGTTGTTCTCCTATTGAAATCGAACTTCAGTTCATGAAAATAACTAGCTAGCTAGCTACTTAACCCTGTTGCCCAAAGCTAGCGTTATAAGCAGCCAGCTAGCTTCATCTGGCTAGTGAGCCTAGACCTGACCGGGTTATGTGTTATGAAGCTAGCCACAATAAGGACTAGCCACAATAGTGGAATTTGCGGTTCGCCTTCAAAATAAAACTCCCTCTTTGAAAGTGACGCAAATGGTTACAATTGGTGGAATCATGCCATATTTAGACTAGATAATGTTAAACAAGGTTGGAGTGTTGGAATGTGGAGCAATGAAATGGGTTATCAGCAGGGGCGGTGTGTTCATTAGGGCGATATGGGCGACGCACTGCCAAACGGGAAAAGGAAGGGATTTTTTTTATAATCAATTATATCACGGCAACAGTAGTTATCAGTGTTCTAATCTAGACGTCTGATCTGCCACTAAATGTCCAATCAGGCTAAAGTCGTGCTTCAAATGGCCCCGCCCCTTTTGGGGCGATTTCAGTCAGGTTGAAAATCGCCCCAGAAGTCTCTCATAGACTCTCATGTAAAATCTTTTTTTTTCAAATATCAGAGCTTTCAATACAATCTCTATGGGTTCCGGGAGGGCTTGCACTTACGCGCTTTCGTCATACGTAACATAACCATGAACGTAACTAAGAAAAGAGCTGGTAGCAGCGTCAATCAATTCACGTACTACTGTCAAGATGGCTAGCGTTCAGTGCAACTCGATTGTCTCTTTGAAAGAAGTTCCTTTTTGTCGGCGAACATATCAAGATAAATTGGCAATGAAACAATTAGGACCTCCCAGACCAAATGTAATAATTCAACAGGTTTCTACTAAAGGGGGAAAGTCCTACACCCGAGGATTTTCCAAAAATTGGTACGAACGAAAAACCTGGCTAGCAGGCTGCGATGTCGCTAATGCAGTCTTCTGCTACCCCTGCTTACTCTTTCACCCTGAAGGCGGCACGGCAGACAGCACCGCTTGGACAGCGACTGGTGTAACGGACATGCACCATCTTTCAGAAAAGATTAAGAAACATGAGCTGTCAAAGACCCACATGGATAGCTGTTTGAGATTGTCTGCTTTGGGGAGAGTGAACATTGCCACTCAACTGGATGAGGGATACAGGCTAGCTGTCCGCCGCCACAACGATGAGGTTAGCAAGAACCGCCACATCCTCAGCCGGCTAATCCAGTGTGTGAAGTTTTGCGGAGTGTTTGAGTTAGCTTTGCGAGGCAAAGATGAAACTGAGGGCTCCACCAACCCTGGTATTTTTCTTGGACTTGTCAACTTTGTGGCACAATTAGATGAGGTGTTTTATGGAAATGCATATTGTTTATGCAGTGTTGAGGAATGTGAAAGAACACCCTTGATTATTTTTACTGTGATAACTTATTTTGCTTTTGTAAGCCAACACTTTTGAGATCAGTCAATAAATGCTTCTGGTATTGACTTATATGCTGCCCCTGTCTTCATGTTGTTGCTGGACATATCTTTTTTAAAATGTGTGTAGGTCACCTAAATCATCAGAAAAATTGCCCCCCCTGAGAATTTTTTCAGGAGCCGCCACTGGTTATCAGTCTACTCGGTTAGACCCACAGAACACAACTGTGAAGAGTTTACGCAAAAATTAGCGTGGTAGCTTTTATTGCAGGACTTTGGCTGTGAGAAATCACCACCCCAGTCAGCCTATTGTGCGTATTGACATTCATATTGCACTATACAGTCTTATCTAAGGATTTGGGATCAATGAAATGGGGTATCAGTCTGCTCACCCAAGTGCTTTTCCCCCCAAAGTCCTCCTCAGAGTTATCTGACTCCAAAACATCCACGTTATATTGTTTTTTCTCTGGAAGTGTTCAATACGCAGAGCAGGTCGACTGGTACAATAAATGTGGCTCATTTCACAGTGGTTTCAGAGTCCCGCAATAAGAGCTACGACGCTAATGTTCTCTGAGTAGACTGATACCCCATATCATTGATCCACAATCCATAGGTAAGGCTGTACAGTGAAACAAGTATGCCCCCAATGCAATTATATTACAACATTCCAACCTCGTTTAGCATGACCTATTCTATTTAGGCAGTATTTGCACTTTCAATTAGATACTTTTATTTTGAAGGCGAACCGCAAATTCAACTATTGTGGCTAATCCTTATTGTGTCTAGTTTCACATAGGTGGGTCCGACCATCATTAATCAAATAACTGTCTTATAAATTAGGGGTATTTTAGATTATGACACCTAGCTAGATAGTTAGCTAGCTAACTATAGCTACTGAAACATATGTCGTTTCGCTATGTTTTGGGGGATGAACTATGGAACGCCATTTGGGTCTTTGTGTGTCATAACACTATTTGACGCTTCAAATAAGCTTGTTGACCAATCAGGACCTGAATATGACTGCACATTACATAATAATTTAACACGTTCATCAATTTTTTACGTAGTTATTACACATTGATTACACTATAACTCGTATTTCATACGTCACAACGATTCACCGATACATATGCTACGATGCTGGTTAAGTTTTGTCTCGCGCACCTGCTACTGCCGCACGAGCGCAGACACACTTCCCCAAGCTCTAGACATTGCTGGTCATAAAAAAGGCTAGCTAGCGGATGGATGCAAACAATGTTCTTCCCCAAAAACATAGCAAAACGACATCATCTGTTTCAGTAGCTATAGTTAGCTAGCTAACTATCTAGCTAGGTGTCATCATCTAAAAGACCCCATATTTATAAGACAGTTATTTGATTAATGGTGGTCGGACCCACCTATGTGAAGCTAGCCACAATGAGGATTTGCCACACTAGTGGAATTTACGGTTCGCCTTCAATATAAAAGTCTGTCATTGACAGTGACGCAAATGAATACAAATAGTGGAATTATGCCATAATTGAATAGATCATGCTAAACGAGCTTGGAATGTTGTTATATAAATTCAACAAAAGACAATAATTTGTTAATTTGACAAAAATCTAGTTGAAATCACACTGGATGTATTACACTTTAGAATTGCATTGGGGGCATACTTATTTCACTGTACAGTCTTACTTATGGATTGTGGATCAATGACATGGGGTATCAGTCTACTCAGTGACACCCAGAGAACATTAGCATCGTAGCTCTTATTGCGGGACTCTGAAACCACAGAATTGAGCCACATTTATTGTACCAGTCAACCTACTATGTGTATTGAACACAATCCAGAGGAAAAACAATACAACGTGGATGTTTTGGAGTCTGATAACTCTGAGGAGGACTTTGGGGAAAAAAGCACTTGGGTACTGAATAGACTGATACCCCATTTCCTTGATCCCCAATCCTTAGGTAAGGCTGTACAGTGCAATTTGATTGTCAGTACGCACAATAGGCTGACTGGGGAGGTGATTTCCCACAGTCAAAGTCCCTGATAAGAGCTACGACGCTAATATTAGCGTAAACTCTTCAAAGTTGTGTTCTGTGGGTGTCACAGAGTAGACTGATACCCAATGTCATTGCTCCACATTACAACACTCCAACCCAGTGGCGGCTCCTGAAAAAATTCTCAGGAGGGGCAATTTTTCTGATGATTTAGGTGACCTACACACATTTTTAAAAAGATATGTCCAGCAACAACATGAAGACAGGGGCAGCATATAAGTCAATACCAGAAGCATTTATTGACTGATCTCAAAAGTGTTGGCTTACAAAAGCAAAATAAGTTATCACAGTAAAAATAATCAAGGGTGTTCTTTCACATTCCTCAACACTGCATAAACAATATGTATGGCTTTGTAAAAATGAACAACCATATTCTGGCCAATTGTATAGATTTGTAAATATGAACAACCATATTCTGGCCAATTGTATAGATTTGTAAAAATGAACATGAACAGATTTTTTATTTTTTTGAATGGCAGTACCTTTCAAACATGTATGCTTGCAGTAAGGTAGCACTCACAAGGTGGCCAGAGAAAGAGAACCTTTCTTTGGTGTGATCCAGGATGGTGTTGCAGACCTCTTCAGACAGCCTCTGCTTCTCCTCTTCTCTCAAAGCTGTTCTGGGTCTTTTGGCTCCTGTTGCTTCTTGCAGCTGCTGTTGAGAGGAGTCCCTGAAGGCAAACAGACCAATGTGTTTGTTGGCTTTGTACAGTATTGTTGTCTATGTGATGCACAGGTATATGCAATGTATCCATGTATAGTACAAATACTTCAGTTCCACTTAAAATGGGCAGGGATGCATAAAGTCTTTAGTGTTTAAGTTAGCCTTTGTGTCTCACATAGCCTGGATGTTCAGCACAGTATACAGTGGTGCTCATAAGCTTATGATCCCATGCTAAAGTTGACTAAAAAGAGGAATAAAAAAGAAAAGAAAATTGGTGTCCTTAAAGGTTGGATTTTCCAACTTTTTTAATTAAGTCATTAAGATCAATTTCCAAAAGATGATTTTTTTATTTTTTTATTCCTCTTTTTAGTCAGCTTTAGAATGTGTTCATACACTTATGAGCACCACTGTACAGTACACATAGTATATAAAATAAGATAGATTACACCACTGGCCATATATAATGACAATAATGTAATTTCAAACACAAATGCAGTCTCCTTTCATGCATACATTTTCAAATAAAGCTCTGCTTTGAGAAAGATCGAATGATATTGTTTAATCTTTATCTTACCTTATGGCCTGCACACTGCTTGCGAAGCTGTCGAGGGCACGTTTGATAAAGACAGCATCGATGTCCTTATTCTGTAGCTTCTGGTACGGTGGGCTGGTCAAATGAACCCAATGAACCCGTCCGGATGGCTTCAAAACATTCTATGAGGTCGTCTCGATTCTCGTAGACAGTGTTCACGACTCTGCTGTTGCTAACCTCATCGTTGTGGCGGCGGACAGCTAGCCTGTATCCCTCATCCAGTTGAGTGGCAATATTCACTCTCACCAAAGCAGACAATCTCAAACAGCTATCAATGTGGGTCTTTGACAGCTCATTTTTCTTAATCTTTTCTGAAAGATGGTGCATGTCGGTTACACCAGTCGCTGTCCAAGCGTTGCTGTCTGCCGTTCATGGTTACGTTACGTTACGTATGACGAAAGCGCGTAAGTGCAAGCCCTCAGACACCCATAGAGAATGTATTGAAAGCTCAGAAATTTGAAAAAAAAAAATTTTACATTAGAGGCTATGAGAGACTTCTGGGCGATTTTCAACCTGACTGAAATCGCCCCAAAACGGGCGGGGCCATTTGAAGCACGACTTTAGCCTGATTGGACATTTAGTGGCTGGCAGATCAGACGTGAACACTGAACTACTGTTGCCATGATATAATTGATTAGAAAAAAAATCCCTTCCTTTTCCCGTTTGGCAGTGCGTCGCCCATATCGCCCTATTGAACACACCGCCCATGCTCCAACCTTGTTTAACATTATCTAGTCTAAATATGGCACGAGTCCACCAATTTTAACAGCCTGCGCCACTTTCAAATAGGGACTTTTATTCTGAAGGCCAACCGCAAATTCCACTATTGTTGATAACCTTTATTATGGCTAGCTTCACAACACATAACCCAGGCTGGTCAAGCCTCACTAGCCAGATGAAGGGAGCTGGCTGCTTATAACGTTAGCTTTGGGCAACAGGGTTACGTAGCTAGCTAGTTATTTTCATGAACTGAAGTTCAACAACAAGCTAATACTTACTCACATGGATTCCTAAATCATTGCTAAGAATATTGAAAATGACTGCAGTTTCTACTGGTCATTGTTTTCTGGCTGGTTGCATTGGTGCTAGCTAGGTAACGTTACCAAGCTAAAGCTAGCTAACTACCGCAGAAGTTGCTAATAACATCTGTGTCAAAGATATTTACAAACATTTTTGAACCTGATCTTATTTAAAATGCTCACACAGACGTTTTCCCATTCGATCGAACAAATAACGCCAACGCGGTATTGTAAACACATCGTTCGTACCCGGTGTGTGCTTGTTTGCAGACTTTTATTTGTTGTACAGCTTTGACAGTGCTACTGATCGTAGTGGTGGAGCTTGGCTTGCACGTGCAAATTCAGCACACACAACATTCTATAATAGAGTTGTGTTATTTGACCTGTCAAATAAAAAGCTTATTTGACGCGTCAAATACTGTTATTTGACAGTATCGTTTTTTGACACGCAAAGACCCAAACGGCGTTCCATACGCAGTTGGCCTAGGATGGTACCAAGCTAAAGTTTCTAATAACATCTGTATCAAAGATATTTGCAAACATTTTTGATCCTGCTCTTATTTCAAATGATCACACAGACGTTTTCCCATTCGGTCGAACAAATAATGCCTTATTACCAACGCGGTATTGTAAACACAAAGTGCAAATTCAGCACACACAACATTCTATAATATAATTTTGTTATTTGACGTGTGAAATTAAAAGCTTATTTGACATGTATCTTTTTTGACACGCAGACCCAAATGGCGTTCCATACAGGATTCATTTAGGAGGTTCTTCACCTGCAGATTTCTCCAGCCACTTTCGAACGATATTTCAACCATTCTTATATTAAGGGAAGATGATAAATGATTACCTCTTGTGGGAGATACTGATTACTACAACCCTTTACATCTAGAGTGCACTAGATTACCAAAAGTATGTGGACACCTGCTCGAAACCCATTTCATGAAGCTCCCGACGAACAGTTCTTGTGCTGACGTTGCTTCCAGAGGCAGTTTGGAAATCAGTAGTGAGTGTTGCAACCGAAGACAGACGATTTTTATGTGCTACAGCACTCGGCACTCCCGTTCTGTGAGTTTGTGTGGTTTACCACTTATCGGCTGAGCAATTGTTGCTCCTAGACGTTTCCACTTTACAATAACATCACTTACAGTTGACTGGGGAATCTCTAGGGCAGAAATTTGACAAACTGACTTGTTGGAAAGGTGGCATCCTATGACAGTGCCACGTTGAAAGCCACTGAGCTCGGTAAGGCCATTCTACTGCCAATGTTTGTCGATGTAGATTGCATGGCTGTGCTCGATTTTATACAGCTGTCACCAACGGGTGTGGATTTGAAGGGGTGTCCACATACTTTTGTATATATAGTGTCTATCAATAGCTAGGTTTCCATCCAATTGGCGACAGATTTTCATGCGAATATTCTAAAATCCCCATAAAGAAAATATACACATTTTCCCACCAGTAACCACATTTCCATCTAACCGTTTCATGCTGATGAATTACCTGATGCATGAAAAAAGTCACGACCGGGCTGATGGAAACATGAAATGCTGGAACAATTTTATAAATGCCGACAATTTGTTCGGTAGACATGGTGCATGTTTTGGTTTTTGCTCTAGCACTATACAGTGGATTCAAATAATCAAAGCTTTATTTGAATCACCTGTGTGGGGGCCCCAGCACCGAGTTTGGGAAACCCTGTATTTGGCTACAGATTAAATTAGTTATGAACTTCATGTAACCGGTGTGAAATGGCTAGCTAGTTAGCGGTGCGCGCTAGCAGCGTTTCAATCGGTAACGTCACTCGCTCTGAGACCTTGAAGTAGTTGTTTCCCTTGCTCTGATGCTTCGAGGGTGACTGTTGTCGATGTGTGCATTGGGTCCCTGGTTCAAACCCAGTTTCGGGCGAGGAGAGGGACGGAAGCAACACTGTTACATTCACAGGGTGGTGAATGTGCGAAGTAATGAGCTTGATGCTCCTTTCCAATAAATATCGAGGGTCTTATTCTGGTTACATGATGATCGATGCTTGGCTGCAGTTTGACAAATTCAAATAATATCGCTCTTATCCATATTCATCTCATAATGTAGGTAGCCTACCCGCACTGTATCTGCTAGCTGTTGGCTAGAGCGAATTATTAGGACACATAAACACCTTAATCGGCGTTCCAGCTGTGCATTTGATCTCCGCATGTGCTAGCACCACCCGAGCGAGCCTCCCTCTTTAGCACGGGTGAAGTGAGTTCGGAACAACTGAATATATGCGTTTTAGAAGTAGTTTTCACATACACATTTTATATGTCCGAACTCAGAATCATATAAGCTTCCCAAAAATAACACGATCGATATGTTAGATCGTTTATTTTGATTGACATGTTCTGCATTTATCAGAGTGCCATCTGGTAGCCTGATTTCAGATGTGTCAATGTAAACAGGATTATTAGGGAAATCGTAATTCTTGCAAAGCATGTAAACGTTTTAATCGAACTATTATATCAATCTGACTATCAACAATAATGGCATTATTGTGTGCATGCAACCGTACTCAATCAACAGATAAACCGTACTAGGCAAGAATGAGATCAATGCATGTAACATAAACCTTTCATCTTGAAAAAAAGAGAATGTACATTATTCGACAGTAATCGCTCTGATTACATAGCTGCCTTTACAAGAGGACACTCACACTACGTTATATTCCAAAATAATTTACATAGTCACATTTCTATGCTGACAAAACAAAATGAAAAGTTTAGAAACGTGTACCAAGAGCTGAACTTCATCATGTAGGCCTAACCAAAATAATAACATGATTCCCATTTGAGATTAATAATAGGAGACAATTCAAGGGCAAAGGAACAATAAAGCACAAAGGACAACAGTCAATGAGAGCACAATTCCACAGAACCCATGTCTATTTTTAACAGAAAACAATGGCCTCAACATTTGCCAACCCTTCCCAATTCCTAAACTCATATTTGCAAAACATTTACATATTTCCAGCAGTGTATGTGGGAGTGTACGCCCATTCATACATCTCTGCACACTGTACTAACGTAGCCCTTCAAATATATTTTTCATGCAACTTTATGTACAAAGCATCATAACTTCAGTGCAATTCTGTCTAACAACGACACATTTGAAATGTCGAGGTGGAAAAAACACACCACAAAAAAAACATATTTGGTATCCAATATTTTTGCAACTTCCCCACAGTACAAATCACTCACTACGATACAAATAAATTAAAGCTACATATTTTCCCTAAAGGATATGACCACTAGCATTCAGTAGCTCTAAAACTCTCTATTAGTCAGAAAGACTGAGCAAAGACCAGTAGCTTCTGGGAAACACCTCAGACCTCCATTCATATGACCCTGATAATCAGGCCCTCAACAGCAGGCTCTCCTGGCGCTAGCGGATGCCTAGGATCTGCCTGCTCTTGAGCTGGTAGTTCCTCTCCACCTCCTCCAGGGCCTGGGCCCGCAGGTTGGCTGCCTGCAGCCTCCTCTTCAGCCCTAGCTCCTGGCTCTTCTCACTCTGCTTCTGATCGGGCCTTTGGTTCTCTTTGCTGTCTCCGGCAAAACTGACCTTCTTTCCAGGGGAGATGTTCTCCTCTCCCACATCTAAGGGGCCAAGATGGCAGAGTTACACATGTTGAAAAGGTTTTATTGAACGCTACATTATTTGCAGATAAAATACCCTTCCGTAATATGTAGGATTGCCTCAGTGATTAGTCAGTCTACCAAAATAATTCTGAAGTTCATAATTTGCCCAGATAAAAACACAGGTGTCTTAAAGTGACCTAAATGTGTTCCCTCCCCTTTTATGTCATCTGAAAACATGGTTACCCTATATCATATTGTTCAACTTCAATAAAGAAGAAAATCACGTATCCTCCCTTTTCCTGTTTTTTCGCTTGACTCCCATACCTATGTCATTGGAATAGAGTGGTGGCAGGGCCTTCTGCTGTTTTACCAGATTGTAGCTCTTTAACAAACTCTCCGCTCTGAAATCAAAAGAAAACATTGTTGGGAGTCAAAATAGATTATAGCCAACCCTCTTGCAGTTTTATAGCAAGGAATGCGATTATGACACCAAAGCGGGAAGCAAAGGTAGAATTAACACAACTTGGAGGAGGATTAAAGCCCTAGCATTTAGTCAAACGTGACATTAAAAACAGCAGTTTGCTGCATTTCAAGTAAAGCGATCCAAGGGAGCTTTGTTTTACCTGGCAAGGTTCTCATTCGATATTCTCTCACGAACACAAAGCTCCTGCTCCCGCTCTGTAGGAGGAATACAAAACACATTCACCAGAGTTACATCAACATTCCACAGATTACAAAACTATTCAGTCTGTGTCCTCAGTAGCATAGCCAGTGACACATTGACTACAAACAACAGTCATTACAGACATTTCAGCAGTCCTCACCAAGCAACACTGATAATAAAAAATACAAAAAAGCTTGTTTCAACACCAGAGGTCTCATCTGTGACTAGGACATTATAGAAACCAGGGTTGGGGTTGAATCAGTTTTCAATTCAGTCAACTTAAGTGATTAGAAATGTGAATTAAGAACAGAATTAAGCTTAATCCTGATAAGGGTAAACACTCACGCTCCAGCCTCTCCTCACGCTCCTTTAGGGCCTTCTCCCTCTCCCGCAGCGCTTGCTCCTTCAGCCTCAGCGCCGCGGCGGCCGGGGAGGTTGAAGACTCGGCTGGCTTTGGCTTCTCTGGATCGTCCGACCTCCTCCAGTTGCGCGCCTGCATCCTCCTCTGCTCATCGGCGACCACGTCCACCAATAAGCTGCTCTGGAGAATGGACTCCACAGAGGGCCTCAGGTAGTCCTGGCAACGAGGCACAACAACAGTCAAATCAACAAAACAAACTGGCAGTTAGAGTAGAATGGTGGGCGGGAGGGATTAAAATCTCATGACATTGAAATTGTATATTGAGCATAATTATGTGCTTGGAGATGGAGACAAATAATCATCTCCTCAACAGGTATGCAGCAGTGAGGAGTTGCTCACAAGATGACTTGAACTTTAGATGGAGATTTTCTGTACTGTGAAACATATTCCAAACCTTTAAATGGAGCATTCTGGACAGGAGTGTGTTCAGCTCCTCTGAGTACCGGTAGGGGATCCTCCTGAACGTCCCCTCTCGGATCTTCTCTGCCAGCTCTTTTTGGTTATAAGCTGTGAAAGGAGGCCTAGATGGAAGAAACATGTGTCAGACCTCAACTAGCCGGTGCCCCCGCACATTGACTCTGCACCGGTACCCCCCTGTATATAGCCTCCCTACTGTTATATTATTTGACTTCTGCTCTTTTTTTCTCAACACTTTTTTGTTGTTGTTTTATTTGAATTTTTTTATAAAAAAATTTATGCATTGTTGGTTAAGGGCTGTAAGTAAGCATTTCACCGTAATGTCTACACCTGTTGTATTCGGCGCACGTGGCCAATAAAATGTGATTTGATTTGACTGAGGGATATTTAGTAAGAATATAGATGACAGGTAAAGTAACTTACGATAAGGCACAGAGTTCATACGACAAGCACCCCAGGGACCAGATATCCGATTTCTCGTTGTAGGACATGCGATTAATTTGTTCCTGTAAAATATGAAAATTGTCCACACATGGACAGATTGATTAGAAAACTTGAGTATGGGGTGGGAGGGAGGGGGGTGTTGAAATGTGTTTCTTTTTCTGTACCAATTATGTTGATTGGCCTTTTTGAAAATGGGCAAATCCATATGAATTGTATCACTTTTTGACAGCATCCCTTTTGATTTAAACAAAACTTTCCATTCATGTTTGTCCATGGAAGAAGTGGTCAGAAAGTGATTTTTTTGGACCTCAATCCCAAAACATTCAGGAGATATGTGCTCAAAATTGCCTCATTTTGCATACTCTACCATACCATGAGACACCATCTCTTCATCACTGGAAAAGATAAACGATTGAGTTTGATATCATTTAAATGCTTACAAACAGTGCTTCTTTGAAAAAAATGGGGGAATAAAAATTATGAAGAAATGTTAACCTTTAGTGTCAATTACCTAACAACTAGTAAACAAAAAAAATCCTATTAGCATATGTTGTAGCATAGACCCTACTTAACATCATCTGAGGTATTTTTGTTGTGCACGTCATCGGTTGAGACAACATGCGCTTGAATACAGGGTGGGTGTCATTTCAATCATAGAAATAGAATTCATAGAATTGACCTATCCCTTCAGACCACTGCAATTTAGCTGGTACACCATTGAAATTAAAAATGTACTGACATTTTAACTTCTAATTACTACCACAAAGGTGGCCGTCGGTCCACCCACCATCGAATGTCAACTTAAATGGTCATGATTATTCTATCATCTATATTTCTGTGATTTCCTATGGAAGATTGAAAGTGTAATTTAAAACAACATATTCCCATTCAAGTCAATATTCTCCATGTGGACCTCCAACAATCTTTGTGGTACCATTTGAAAGTCAACATTTGAATTATATTCCCATTTTAGTACATTTATCAGCCAAAACATGACACCCACCCTGTATTGAAGAGCATGTTGTGTCTCAACCGATGACGGGCACAACAGCCCTGTTTGTAAGCTTTTAAATGATATCAATCTCAACCGTGTATCTTTTCCAGTGATGAAGACATGGTGTCTCATTGTATGGTGGGGTCTGCAAAATAGAGCACCTTTATCTCTTGAATGTTTTGCCATTCAGGTCCAACAAGTATGGAAGGTTTTGTTCAAATCAAAAGGGGTGCTGTCAAAAAGTGATTGAATTCAAATAGTTTTACCCAAATCCAATAAATATGTGTAAAAAAAGAAAGAAAACCAGAGTATCTCTCCAAACGCTACATCATGAAAAAAATGTTTTACTTTGAAAACCATAATCATAGGATTCCCAATTGTATGATGGCCTTTGCTTTTGCTATTGACTCACAGGCGACATGTAGTAAGGGGTTCCGACGAAAGTCTTAGCGAAACTGGTGTCATGGTTCAGGATTCTTGCGAGACCAAAGTCGCCGAGCTTGACATTCTGCTTGACATCCAGGAAGATATTGGCAGGCTTGAGATCTCTGTGCAGCACTGTGGCTCCACCATCGCTCCGGCGATGGCACTCCTTCAGTGCAAGAGTGAGCTGTGCCATGACTCGCATGATGAACTCCTCCTCCAAGTAACGCCTGGCCACCAGGAACACAACATGCACGGAGTTATCAACCAATACTGTTACGTTGAACATGCCAAATGTACACCAAATTTGCAATTAGTATAATTAATTTGAGTCATGCCAACCCTCAGTTTGCCTACAGGCTGGGAGGCCAGTGTTCAACACCCACAAAGGGTGGGTTGTCGCCGTTCGCCACCTAGGTGTCAGAGTGGGATGGCCATTGGAGATATGTACAGTGCATTTGGAAATTATTCAGACCCCTTGACTTTTTCCACATTTTGTTACATTACAGCCTTATTCTAAAATGGATTAAAAGTTTTTCCCCTCATCAATTGCAAATTTATTAAAAATACAAAACTGAAATATTACATTTACTTAAGTATTCAGACCCTTTACTCAGTACTTTGTTGAAGCACCTTTGACAGCAATAACAACCTTGAGTCTTCTTGGGTATGACGCTACAAGCTTGGCACACCTGTATTAGGGGAGTTGTTCCCATTCTTCTCTGTAGATCCTCTTAAGCTCTGTCAGGTTGGATGGGGAGCGTTGCTGCACAGCTATTTTCAGGTCTCTCCAGAGATGTTCGATCAGGTTCAAGTCCGGGCTCTGGCTGGGCCACTCAAGGACATTCAGAGACTTATCCCGGAGCCACTCCTGCGTTGTCTTGGCTGTGTGCTTAGGGTCGTTGACCTGTTGGAAGGTGAACCTTCGCACCAGTCTGAGGTACTGAGCGCTCTGGAGCAGGTTTTCATCAAGGATCTCTCTGTACTTTGCTCCATCTTTCCCTCGATCCTGACAAGTTTCCCAGTCCCTGCCGCTGAAAGACATCTCCACAGCATGATGCTGCCACCACTATCCTTCACCGTAGGGATGGTGCCAGGTTTCCTCCAGAAGTGACGCTTGGCATTCAGGCCAAAGAGTTCAATCTTGGTTTCATCAGACCAGAAAATCTTGTTTCTCTTCGTCTGAGAGTCCTTAGGTGCCTTTTGGCTAACTCCAAGAGTGCTGTCATGTGCCTTTTACTGAGGAGTGGCTTCCATCTGGCCACTCTACCATAAAGGCTTGATTGGTGGAGTGCTGCAGCGATTGTTGTGCTTCTGGAAGCTTCTCCCATCTCCACAGAGGAACTCTGGAGCTCTGTCAGAGTGACCATCGGGTTCTTGGTCACCTCCCTGACCAAGGCCTTTCTCCCCCGATTGCTCAGTTTGGCCGGGCGACCAGCTCTAGGAAGAGTCTTGGTGGTTCCAAAGTTCTTCCATTTAAGAATGATGGAGGCCACTTGGGGACCTTCAATGCTGCAGACATTTTTTGGTACCCTTCCCCAGATCTGTGCCTCGTCACAATCCTGTCTCGGAGCTCTACGGACAATTCCTTTGACATCATGGCTTGGTTTTTACTCTGACATCCCCTGTCAACTGTGGGACCTTATATAGACAGGTGTGTGCCTTTCCAAATCATGTCCAATCAGTTGAATTTGACCACCAATCAAGTTGTAGAAACGTCAAGGATGATCAATGGAAACAGGATGTACCTGAGCTCAGTTTCAAGTCTCATAGCAAAGGGTCTGAATACTTATGTAAATATGTTATTTCCGTTTTTAATTTTTTATACTTGCAAAAAAATCTAAAAACCAGTTTTTGCTTTGTCATTATGGGGTATTGTGTGTAGATTGATGAAAACATGTAATACATTTTAGAATAAGGCTGTAACTTAACAAAATGTGTAAAAAGGGAAGAGGTCTGAATACTTTCCGAATGCACTGTATACATGATGGACAATGAAACCAAGGTAAACACGACAGCACAAAACACAAATACCTGTCTTTGATGCATGTGGTGATGAGGCTGGAGAGGTCGCCGCCTTCACAGTGCTCCATAACGATGTACAGTGTGGTGTTGGTCCGGTCTATGATGCGGTCATAATATCTCACAATGTTTGGATGCTTCAGCTCACGCAGGAGGTTGACCTCGGACACCAGCATATGCTTCTCGCTCTCAGCCATAGTGCCATAGTCCAGCTCCTTCCAAACTAGAATCTATGATTTAACCCAGACACCACAAAATTAAGCATTTATTGATTGGCCAAATGTTATTTCATTTCTAAGGCTTCACAGGAAATGCATGGAAGCAAATGCTTGATGTGGGGAACATACTTTAAAGAAAGCCTTCAATGTAGATGTTTATTTGCTAGCTACTAACCAACTAGCTACTTGTTTTACATCAAATGCTGTCTTAAATGTTAGCTGTATTGTTCACATATGTAACGTTGGCTATATGACACCAAATCCTCAGTTTTAGGTAAACACCATAGCTTATGCTTTAGTTTTGCTCATAGATATTGGGAGGTCTGGTGTTCCCCTTTCTGTTTAATGAGGTCATTTCTGGACAGTATTTTGGAACCCCTTTTGGCTCAAGAGCCAAGAGGCAAACGTCTCGTGTGGGCACGGGTTACCTGCCTGGCCAAGTGGCTTACTTAGTGAACTCAATGGAGTTGAGTTTACTAAGCTAGTGGCCATGTTGACTAACGTTAACTAGCTAGCTAATATTAGCTAGTAAGCATAACGTTAGCTACACTAAGTCGAACCATATATTTGGTCGATCACATTAGCAAACGTTACTGTAGCACAGGTAGCTAAGTTACATTTGCTAGCTTCTAGCTAGCTAGGTACAGTAAACGCTGTAAAAAGCAAAACACTTACCTTCCCATCATATTTTCTCCGTATTTTCTGACATTTGCCATAAGACCCTGATCCTATGGTATACAACACCTCATAATCGTCAACACGAGATGGCATTTTGGCGAAGCTAGCTACTAGCTAAATGCAAAGGTTGCAATCTAAGGTAGCTACTGTAGTTTACTTTAACGTTAGCTAACGTACTGACAGTAGCTATTTGCAGGTGTTCAGCGAAGGAGAGCAAAAACGTAACTACTCTCGCAATGGCAAATATTATGGACGTCTTCTTTCTTTAAATGTAATTGCTGGCTATATCTCTTCGATCACTTATTTATAAGTTACAGTGTTTCGTGTTGATGACGAAAAGTAAACAAGGACCGCGGTCGCTGGTTTCAAATTGGTGCCTGAATTATTCGATGTGATTGGTCCGCCTACAACATATAGAATATTCTGATTGGCTGTAATTAAGATACAACATGCAGGTTGCTAAGCATCTGAAAGCCGCAAGATTTGGCGTGGGTGTTTAAAGAGGAGGACTCTTTTCCGATGGAAACGTACTATTATGATTGCGGGGGAAATAAATTGATATGCATGTACTCATGTAATTTAAAAAAACATCACAGAACCCAATGTATAAATCTAAAATATGGAATCTTCCCTTACTGATAACACTACTCTGTGTGTTATAATCTCACCACAAGGTGGCAGTAAAAGCAAACTGTTATTTTATCCTGCAAGTAACAACAAGTAATTGCCGAGTGGTGCCACACATTGATAACTATTCTATCAAAGGACACATTGTCCATCTATGCAAGTTAGAATAGAGCAAAACAGAACATAATAGAACAGAACAGAATAGAAAAATGCCTGGTGCCACAAATCTAATAACAATGTATTGACTAATCCTATACTATCCAGTGTAAAAAAAAAAACACCATGACTTTTGTGAACTATACAAGTATTTTCATCTTTAAGATTGTAACAACAAATGTCACACAGTGGACATCAAGAGACAGACAGCCCTCTTGGGTGTTTTTACCCCTGGCTCATTGGCTTGAATAATTTCTGCTGCTTAGCTTGTCCTTGTGAGACAACACTGGGCAGCCAGACTGAGTTCTCTGTCTGTCCCAGAGCAATGATGAATATGAATATCCCTCTGCACCATAAATCAATGTCAGGAGAGCAGTGTGTTAGAAATTGTTAGCAGTTGACCTCACATAGCGAAGGCTACATTCTGTGACCAAGCGTTATGATCTGCCCTCATCACAGAGAAAGTGGTGATACCCCACAACAGAACAACTCATTGATTTACTGCCTGCATTGCCAGGGAGGTTGTTTGCAGTTTGAACTAGAAAATGATCCTTCCCATTCAATTGACTGGGTGTAAGGTTGAGTGGGCCAGCAAGGCTAGATGAAAGGCAGCCATGAAATCTGCAGAGCGTTTTAATTACTGTGTGGTTGAAACTCGATACAGAGACATCACACTTCACCTGTGGATATCAATAGCCTTTTACCTGGGTCGTATTCATTACTGCACACTGTGGCAAAATGTTTTTCAATAGAGAACAAAAACGAGTGTTTCTTATTTGACAAGTCCAGGTATTCATTCCCTGTTTCAGACCGTTTCTTTCTGTTTGGTGCCTAATGAACACGACCCTGAACTTGTCAGTGTGAAATGATCTCATCATTGCCATCATATCACCAAGCATCTTACCTGTTGTGATGCTTTCTGTGAACAACAGGGGTCCACGTAGAGAGGCTAGTTTGCAGCAACAATATCTAATTCCAATTATGCCTGTGCACGTACTAGTCCCAAAAAGGTCACTGACACTAGGGCTGTTTCCATGGCGCCCTGTCATGGGCCCCGTGTAGCTCAGTTGGTAGAGCATGGCGCTTGCAACGCCAGGGTTGTGGGTTAGATTCCCACGGGGGGCCAGTATGGGGGGAGAAGAAAAAAATGTATGCACTAACTGTATGTCGCTCTGGATAAGAGCGTCTGCTAAATGACAAAAAAAAAAAAAAGGCACACAGGAGAGGCTAACAGGAATTGAGATCCAGCAAACACGCTATCCATCCTCCTCAGCGGAGACATGTGATCAACAAAGCCCTCTGCAGAGTCCCTCTAGGGGTTACCGCGGGGACAGGCGTGTTCGAATTACCCCTGTGTCACTCGCCTCTCTCGTCACGAGTTGCTGACACACGCGTCAGGAGGACACGGCAGTGCTCGTGGTGTGGTGTGGTGAGAAACAGTCAGTCTGTCACCACAAAGGTAATTTCCTACAGAGGGGATATTGTGGTACCAGTTACCCTCTGTCTGTAAGCCAGCCAGGAGTGGTGGGGTGCTGAGCGTGAAGCTGACAACCAAAACAACAGAGACCATCGGGGGCTGCTAGGGGCCCTTGGAAGGCCACGCTAGGTGTCACCCATCACTCTGAGGACCAGGAGCTGGGAGGGAGAGACACAGGGGATGCCGTCTTGCAGTTCCCCTGACACTCAAGACGTGTCTCTATCCTCAGGTCTTGTGTGTACAGTGGGGTCCGAAATGATTGCATTCTCAATTCGACGCCAAACCTACCGCTGGTGTGCGTGGCCAAAGAGCTCTATTTTCATGTCATCTGACCAAAGCACCGGTTCTAATCCAAGTGCCAATGCTGTTTAGCAAACTCCAGGCGTTTACATTTGTTGGATGACATGAAAATAGAGCTCTTTGGCCACACACACCAGTGGTGGGTTTGGCATCGAAATGAGAATGCATAAGCAGAAAAGAACCCCATACCTACTGTAAAACATGGTGAGGGATCTTTGATGTTATGGGGCTATTTTGCTTCCCCTGGTCCTGGGGCCCTTTAACCATTTTGCAATAGTCATCTCAGTCTCCGGACTAAAACCCATTGAAAACCTGTGGTTTGAATTGAGGAGGGCAGTCCATAAGCGCAGACAAAGGATATCAAGGATCTGGAAGGATTCTTCTGTATGGAGGAATGGTTTAAGATCCCTCCCAATGTGTTCTCCAACTCATAAAACCTTTTAGAAAAAGGCTCAGTGCTGTTATCCTGGCAAGGTGAGGTATTGAAAACAGGCAGTGGAGTAAAATACTTAAGTAAAAATACTTGAAAGTACTACTTAAGTAGTATTTTTTGGTATCCGTACTTTACTATTTATATTTTTGACAACTTTTACTTTTACTTCACTACATTCCTAAAGAAAATTATGTACTTTTTACTCCATACATTTTCCCTGACACCCAAAAGTACTCGTTACATTTTGAATGCTTAGCGGGACAGGAAAATTGCCTAATTCACACACTTATCAAGAGAACATCCCTGGTTAGCTCTACTGCCTCTGATCTGGCAGACTCACTAAACACATGCTTTGTTTGTAAATTATGTCTGAGTGTTGGAGCGTGCCCCTGGCTATCCGTAAATTTAAAAAACAAGAAAATGATGCCGTCTGGTTTGCTTTCTATAAGGAATTTGAAATTATTTATACTTTTACTTTTACTTTTGATACTTAAGTATATTTTAGCAATTACATTTACTTTTGATACTTAAGTATATTTAAAAACAAATACTTTTAGACATTTACTCAAGTAGTATTTTACTGGGTGACTTTCACTTTTACTTGAGTAATTTTCTATGAAGGTATCTTTACATTTACTGAAGTATGACAATTGAAAACAGGGGTGTCAATAATTTTGACCCCTACCTCTTTGAGAAAAAACATGACTTGTTTAACAAAATCTCTCTCTGAGCAATTGTATTAGTGTGAAATATAATATTTCCCCCCAAAAAATGTTGCCTACAATATAGCTCAGTATTTTATTTATTTTATAGTATTTGTTGTTCATCTTGTGTGTGTGTATCTGCCTGTCTGTGTGTGTATCTGCATGTGTGTGACTGTGTATGTGTCTAAATGTGTATGTGTTTGTGTACTGTATGTGTTTATGTATAGCACACGTGCCTCATGGAGAAGTTGGTGGGCCTCTGGCATCACCGGGCGTCAAACACAGAAGTAATTTAAGTGAGGGTGGCAGATTAGCGGCGGTTGGGGGAGCCGGTGGCTGCAGCATTCATATGCCTGCTACCCCTCAGGAACCTCATGGCTATTTATGTCCCCCTCGCAGGTCACCCTGGCCTTCCCCTGCCACAGCGGCAAGTTTGAGTGTTTGCGAACTCAAAGGGAGCAGCCACGAACCACATTTATCAACCAGACCAGAGCAGCCGATAAATGGTACCCTGAGGAGAGAGAAGGGTGCAATTGCGGCCCGCATTTCGAGGCGTTCCTGCATGTGGGCATTCCTGCATATGCAGAAACCCCTTTTTATACTTCTATTGGTCAATTTTTAAGTTAGGACAGGCGGGAGGCAGGGGCGCTCCAGTACAGTAGGTGGCGTTAATGTACAATAATGTTGGATGCCAGCCGCCAATAACCCCCACAGAAGGAGAGGGGTCAACAACGGTGGCTAGCTTAAATGTATACCGCCAGACGGTGTCCTTCGCACCCACCTGTCGGCACTGCTTTCCCACAGTTCCGCTAACGACGGTGAGGGCTGGTGTTCGGCAGGCGGGAACGAAGGACACTGTGTACTCGCTTAGCCAGCTAGTCCTAAGGAGGACTCCGGTACACAGCAGACGGGGGCGACGCCGTGTGTTAGCTAACTAGCTGATGGTGTCGCTAACTATCAAGCTAGCTAGTACACGGTGTCACCCTAGCCGCCCGTCTGCTGTGCTAGTGGGAGGCAGAGATGACCGTTAGACAGTGGCCTTTATTTCCCTTTTAACCCACATTCAAAAGTGTCACACAAGCATGAAGATGTTATTTACATCAGCTCCGGGGTAAAGTTGATCCTATAGGTACAGATCTAGGATAAGCTTCCCTTACCCTAATTCTAACCTTAACCATTAGTGGGGGTAATGCAAAACTGACCCAAGATCAGCCCCCCTCCTCCCTTCCACCATCACTCCAGCTGCTATGGCGATGACATACCAGGCTGCCCTCTCTCGTTCCCCGCTTATCATCCTATACACGATGTATCATTTTACTACATCTGCCAGTCAGGCGGCTTAGTTTAACAAGTGGCAGTTAGGCTTGTCATTCATGACCTAACCGCATAATGGTTT